TTGACTGAAAACCATTATTCCCAAGATTTTTTTATTTTGCTCTTTTAGGCAATTCCCTGGGGAGCACAAAGAAAGAAATAAATATTTGCCATTCTTGCTGTTTATGTAACTTGTTCATACACTAATGACTGATGAGTGGGTGATGGGTCCCTCTGTATTCATATAATGCACAGTGCTCTGGTTCTTGTCTGTCCTATTATTATATTTAGAGTAATATTTTGTTGTCCAAAGGCATTTTATTTATCTTTATTTTTTCTTTCAAGTATCTCCACTAAATGTGTGGATGTTTGGTGCTAAACATATTTAGTTAATTAGTGATTTTGATGGTTAAAGCATTCTTCTATTAGAGGAAAGAAATAAAAGGAATAAAGGGTTCAAAAATCACTTACACCACCCAAACCTCTTTCTCTCTCTTAAATCATTTAATTGAATTGACCACAGTCACATAGTCACACATGATTCTCTTAGTTGGCATTAGAGACTTGGTCAAGGAGCAAATAATTTCATTGCAGACGGCTTCTTCACCATCAACTACTAGAAATTTAATGCAGCCACATACATAAACCAACATAAAAATATCCATATATTGAAAATTTCGCAACTTTAATCAGCTTTGGTGCAGAACTAGAAAAATTCCTTTCCCACCACAAGACTTGATCTCACTACACGAGATATATATGTTACAAACTTAATCAACAATGGATTATCAGATATTAGAAGATAATGTCATAAATGCTTTAGAAGATATATTTCTAAGCACTAAAATTTAAGGGATAGACCAAGGAATTATTGTATAGGCCAAAACTTGTTTTGCTTCCCTATTGACTATGTTTTCAACGTGGTTTGTTACACATTGAAGATCTAGAAGAGCTAGGGGTAGACCAAGGAATTCATCTAAATGAGCAGTACTTGGAATGGGCAAATAACCTTTCATTTGCAGATCAAGGAATTCATCTAAATGAGCACTTGGTAGACCTTTTGCTTATCTCAAACAGGAATCTGAATGACCATGGTCTTTCCTATGTTGTATTGAAAGCATATATGTTCATTGGAGAGAAGACAAGGAAATAGACCATTCTGGTTCTAGACCGTCCAATCTGTTCAAATTCGTTTTGATTTAGACTGGTTTCAACCCAAACTCGGTCCATAGGCACCTATATTCTTACCTTAGATCAATGGACCAGATATTGGCTTAATCCAACCCAATCCAACATAAATTTTTATTACGGACGRACTGGATGGTCCAATCCAATTTGATAAATATTTTGGACCAGATTGGTCCGATCCAATATGTTTTGTTGGTCCGTCCAACCCATCTAAATTGATTTTGGATTGGATGGGGTCCAATCCAAAACCGGTCCATTGACACCTTTATATTATTATTTTGATTAATGAAAAAATGAATGAGAATGAAATTTGTAACCAAACAGGTTACAAATTTATTCTCATTCTTGCCATAAAAAAAAATCATATTTTGGAAAAAAAGCGTTTGGTTCATAGCAATATTTTCTCATTCTTCCCATTTTTACTCATTTTTTTCCATCTTGGAATTTCATCTTGGGTAAGAATGAGAAAGAATGAGAATTGAACCAAACATGGCCTTACCCTCCATGGATTGGAGAATGAACCCAAGCATAAAATTGATTGCTTTTCCACTTTGCATGTGCTTTGCTTTTCTTTCTTTATTTATTTATATCTTCTGATCTTGAAAAGATGGTTATGTTTGCTTTGCAGCACCTTTTGAGAGTGGTTCCTGTGGTTGGTTTACTTAACAATAGACAAGCATTCAAGCCCACTCGAAATGCGGAAGAGGTGGAAGCAATTTTTGATGCTCCCTTGGAAATGTTTATCAAGGTTGTGTCTGTGTTCCTTGTCTATTTATTCTAGTCTGTCCTTTTCTTTTCTTTCTTCTATGGAGATTGTTAACCCAATGCAGTGAATTCAGAATGAGAACCGGAGAGAACAAGAGATACAATGGTTAGGTAAAAAGCGTCTGATCCATTTCTTTGATTATGAAACGGAGGACAATAAGAATTACATAATCTGGGGTTTGACTGCTGGGATCTTGATCCGTGCTGCATCAGTTGTGTATCAACGGCCACCTGCCTTTCTGGAGCATTAACCAAATTTCAGAGTCGCCAAGTCTGTTGCCCCAAATGCTATCTTGCCCTTAATCTGAACCATTAATTGAGTTGTTTAATCATTTTCCTTGTTGATAAGATCATCCACCATAACCTGCATTAGTTGGATCCTAATGTATTGAATAGAAGCAATATAAATGGTTGATATTAAAATTGTCATCTACAATCCAATAGGGAAGGAGTGCTCTTACCTTGAAGGACTCACTTTTAACCTCTTGTTCTCATGATTTAGGGTTCCCTTTCGAAAAGACATGATACCAGAAAAACTTATAACCAATGAATCGGTATCGGTATCATAAAAGTGGTAACCAAGTCAGGTGGTATTTATCAAAATTCAACTGGGGTGACTGGTTAAAGCTCATATCACGTGTTTCTGGCATCATAGATTTCCCCATGATTTAAAAGCTCATAATTTAGGGTTTGACTATGATATTGAAAGGATATGATACAATAACAATCAACTGGCATCATAAAAGTGATAACCAATTTTTTCAGATAAAAAAGATGGTAACAAATCAGTGGGTTTTCATCTGAATGGGGAGGGGGGTGTTAACCAATCAGTGGGTTTGGATATAGCACAAAACTGAATGACAAAACATGATTTATGTACCTGACCCTAACCCTATAACCCACCAACCCTATATAGTTGGGATCAAGGTTCAAAATATTGATATTATTTTTTTTTGTTTTTTTTTTCTGAAATCGGTTCAGGGGGGCCGGTTTAGGTCTTTTCCATCCCCTGAACCGATCAGACCCCCGATACACCTATTATAGGGACATATCGGTGGAGTCCCAAAACAATACGTATCGGCCGATATGGGCCGATACGTGTTGATACTTTGAACCTTGGTTGGGATAAGACTGACAATGTAACATGACTCTAACATTGATGCCAATGTTCATAGGCCTGGTTATGCAATAATAGGTATCATATTTTGGTATCCGGATCTCCTGAAATTAAATTTTGGTCATTTCTCAAAGAATGATGATCAATGAATCGTAAACCTGATGGCAATTTTTACCCGATGGCAAATTAAAGGGGGTGCTCTCGAAAATGTTTTCGCTTTTCTTTTCTTGTTACTAAATGCCACAGCCTCCATGAAGAAAAGTACGTTTTTTGTGTTTTTTTGGGGGAAAATCTATGATACGGAAAAGATATGATATGAAAAGAGTTTTGACCAATTTAAACCCACCCATGCATTTTGAAAAATATCACCTGAACATGGGTCATTAATGGATTGACGGGTTAGATGAATTGGGTCATTAATGTTTATGATTCCAATTTATTGGTCAGTTATTTTTCTGCTATCATATCTTTTCCATATCATAATCAAACCCTTTTTTTTTTGTAAATGATTTAAACTTCCCTTCATTTTTATCCTCAAATACTTAAACAGTTAAACATCCTGCCTTTTTCAAATTGGACTAAGACCTCCCATGTCACAAAGCATGTGACATCATAAGACAAAAGACTCCCCTATGTTAGCATTCTATCCAAACCCATTAGCATTTGACATCAAGTGGGAGTTATTTTTTCCTAGGCTCAGTTTGGAAGGAGTACAAATGCAAATTTGTAGAGTGCAAAACCTTGAATTTTGTATTATTTTGTATGTATTTGCACTGTACATATTTGTATTTGTACTCCTTCCGAACTGAGCTTAAAACCCAATTCTGTCTTTTATTGTTCATTGCACTGTTCTCAGTGTGCCAGTATGTTACATACCCAAAAACGTGATAAAGGTCTGCATTTCCTGTACCACCCAACCAAGGTTCAAAATATCGATATGCCCGATATGCCGATAGGGGCATATCGGGTGTTTTGATACTTGTTTTTTTACTTTTTTTTTTCAAAACTGGTTCAAGGGAGACGGTCTAGGACCCCTCCATCCCTTGAACCGGTCAGACCCCTGATACACCCACTGTAGGGGCGTATCGGAAAGGTCCTGGAATGATGCATATCAACCAATATGAACCGATACATAACGATACTTTGAACCTTGCACCCAACTTCTAACATCTGCAATCCACAAACAACTATATCTCATCAGCAACACCACCACACGGTATTGCCGCTTTGCTCATTTAGGTTGAGCCTTGGATATTGGCCAGACATGGTTGCATCTGGAGGTTGCCTGCACTGATTTATGCCGTTAGTTTAATCATTATCCAAAATAAATAAATAAATAAATAAGTTTGTGGTTGAACGTACCAGGATTGAGAATTTGAATAATTTTGGCAAAAGGTTAAGAGATGGATTTGTACATCATACCGATACAACAGTTTACTATATGATGGCTCATTGAAGGGAGAAATACCTTTGATTGCATGGGTGATTATTGGTTGGTAGATGAAGTTTTTGGAGGTTGGGGTGCATCTAGAGGTGGCAATTGGACGAGTTGAGTTGGGTTCGGTTTGGGTTGAGTTTCAACCCAATTCATCTAACCCCTCAACCCATTAATGACCCAATTAGATAGAATTAAATGTGTTGGGTTTAATCCAAACTCACCTGAACCCAACCCAACCCATTTAGATAAAATAATGAAAATTATACAAAAATAATAGAAATTGCAGGAAATAAATTTGAAAAAACACAAAAATGCACAAAATTAATAGAAACTACATAAAAATTTGAAAAACAGAGATTGCGACTTTCATTTTGTCCAAGCCCACCTTGGCCCAACCCATTAATTTTTTAAATTATTAAAATACAAACAAATGAACAAAAATATTTAAAATTACAAGAAAATATAACAAAAAATTATAGAAAATGTGGCAAATGAAAAGAAATACAAATCGTAGAAACATAACAGAAATTTTAAATTACAGGAAAATGTATTAAAAAACGCAGAAAATTACCAACAAAAATTACAAAAAAAATATTAAAAAAAAACAAAAATTTAAGAAGATACAACTTTGTCTGCAATTCGAAATTCTCTTCACTTGTACTTTGGCTTTCAGCAAGATTTGAGAATCATTCCACAACAAAATATGAGGTAGGATCGATATTTTTGTGACTAAAATAATAAATTAAAGAGATTGACAACTTATTTGACGATTAAATAATCCTTTACATCTGGCGTAGTAGAAGATAATTGGGTTAAAAGAACAAAACAAAGTCTGAAAAATGAAAATTCTAACATGTTTTGGTGATCGGATATAATGAAGGAAGATAAAGAATAATAAGAAACATAGCTGAGTTTTCAAGCAAAATTTTAGCAGCTAATTTTCTTAAATACAAATGAAGAAATTCAAAAAAAAAAGGATTGAAACATGAAATACCATTGGACAACACCAAAATCATTTTTCTTCACTACTCGAGTTAGGTAGGTGAGTTGACTCACCCATGCCTCATACAGTCAGCTGATCTCCAGCCCTGAAGTTAAGCCTTTTATCGAACACTTAGCATGCAGACTTTGCTTTGTTCCACCAAGCGATCAGTCATTAAACTCGATGTTAGTTCTATGCAGCCCTGGCCTTGAGGTTTATCACCGATTAGACTCAACGTCGATTGCAGGCTTGATGCCGATAACACTCCTAAATGAACCTGGAACCAATCCCTTTCACAGATTGACCACCGATTACAGTCTTGATGCCGATACTAGAGCAAGATGAATTGCTTGATGCCAATTACAAGCTTGGTGGACGACAACCACAATGAAGTTTCAAAAAAAATTGCAACCAAGACAACTGTCAATATGGCAAAGATGACATGATTTAGCTTCAAGGAGTGAAAACTCTGGATATTGCTTCTACTACAACGTTGATGGAATAGGCTGTGAAAGCTCTAATCCTTGGGCAAAGTCGGTGGCGTTGCCGCCTAAGAGAATGTGAGTGAGAGCAAAGAGCAGAGACCATGAATGCCGAGAAGCAGTGAAAACATCGAAGGATCCTTTTCAAAAACACTCACCTTCTAATCTTATTAGGAGTCGCAGAGTTCATCTCATCCCTTCACCAAAAGCTTCAGTACTCTCTGCTGCTAAATTTGGTTGTTTAGGGTTCGAATTAGGATTATTCAAAGAGGGAAGTCTAAATATAAAAAATTATTGGATTACCAGTTGGATAACCATGACCCAACCCACCCAACCCATTAAATGTCCCATTATTCGGTTATCCAACCCACAGTGACCCGAGACTAGATGGTTACAACCCAACCCGTAAATTAATGATTGGGTTGGGCGGGTTCGTGGATTGGGTTGAAAAACTGCCAGTCCTAGGTGCATCCTGTTCCTATTGCCGATTGATGTAGAAGTAGTTGTGGCATATACAGTGTATACAACTCTTCAAAGTGTGCAGAAGTTTATGGACAAAGCATTCTAATGACTAGAAAAATTCATATTGTTATCAGGTTCAAACAAGCTAGAATATGCATATTCGTGATCGAATTGTTCTTTTTTGTTGATTCTAAATCTCTTATTACTCAGTTTAGCGTTTCATCATTTTTATGTAGCTAGCGTTTCATCATATTAGTCATGATACAATAAACTTGACTCATATATTGGTTTCCTTGTTAGAGAGTGAAGGTTTTGTCTTGAATGAGTTTTAGTCCCTCTTGATGTAATTTCATAATTATCTTTGTAGTAAAAAATGTGGTAATTTTTTATTTTTTAGGTTGAATGGTTTTTAAATTTATGGAATAATGAAGGATAAAAGAGTCCCTTTATTGTTTCTGTTAAATTTAATGGAATCTTATTCTGATAGGGGAGGTTTAAGTCCTATTAGAAATTAGAAGGAAGGTATTAGTATTTATTTTAAAATTTTGGGGAGGTTTAAGTCTTTTACCCTTTTTTTTCTAAAAAAGATGAAAAGAAATCGATTTTGATTTGAAAAAAAAAAAAGAGTCTCAGTTTCTAAACCAAACAAGAAAATAAAAAAAAAACATGATTTTGCTTCCATAAAGGTTGACTTGGGCTACCGTTTGTTATGTGGCTCTCACAAAAATCTCCTATAGACCCTCTTACAAGTGTGGCTTTAAAGTATAAATCTCATATGGACTATAGCTACCAACATTTAAATAGACCTATGGTGTAAAATATAAATAACTAATAAATATAAAATAAAAATGGTGAGTTAATTAATATCTATTTCATCAAAACCTCCATTGGAATATAATATGTGATGCTGCTCGATCCGAGGTGGTGCATGAATTGAGGAGGCAGTCAGATAGTC